TTTTAAAAAGCTAAAGTGGATTGAGAGAAATACTTTTAACTGATGGTATATGGAAGGGATTATAATCAATGTAATGAAACAAGTTATATGAATTGTTAAATGTGAAACTGATGATGTGCCCTGTAAACTTTCACTCAATCCACAATAAAAACCTTAAATTAAAAAAAAAAAAAATGTATGAGTTTATAATGGGGGACTTGGTGGCTCTGAGGGTTAAGCACTGAACTGCGAATCACAAGGTAGGGGTTGAAGCCTCGCTTTCTAACCCCTCAAAGATGTACAGCTTCGGAAACCCTATACAGGGTCACTATGAGTAGGGACCAACAACATATCAGACTGCTCAGTGGGTTGGTTGACCCATCTAGTCTCCCCAGGGCCCCAAAAGGTAAGTAATTCCCCCCCCCCTTTCTCTTTTTTTATGGTGGTGATTATGCACATACCATAACGTGTCAACACACCTCACGTTTACAATGTGACATTAGCACTTCTAGTAACTTCATTTTGTAGCCAAGGAAATGAGGCACAGAGAGGTTAAGTAAGTGACTCCGGTCACACAGCCGGTGGTGGCAGGGACTGGCTTTGAACCCAAACATCCTGGCTCCAAGCCTGCCTTTCTCGCCACTCATCAACCCATGTCCCCAGATGTTACTTTCCGGCATGTTTGTGAAGTAGCTGCAAGAAAGCATTTCTAATCTGTTAGTCTAGTTTCAGAAATGGGAAGCTTTCGAAAGCCATCCACATAGCTTTCATTTTCTTTTTCTGCAGAAACTTGTTGGGTTTGGCTGGTCAGAAACCAAACAGGGTTGCTTCCGGGTTGTGAACTGCTGACAGCTGCTAGCTGGTGAGTTAAAAACCACTGGAGAGCAGTACCAGAAAAGGACTCCCAACCTCGATCCCACCAACGTCCACCAGGATCCTTCACCAGGAGTCCGGGCCACCATTCAGCATGGCTGAGGCCACAGATGACCCAGGCAAAAAAGGTACACTAACTTCTTCCATCCAAAAAGACGTAGCAGTCCAGTGGGGTTCTGACCTGCTCTTTCTAGATGTTTCACAGGCTCTACTGTGTAGTGGTTACAAATCAGGCTGCTAACCTCAGGGACAGCAGTTTGAAACTACCAGTTGTTCCGCAGGAGAAAGATGAGGCTTTCTGCTCCCATAAAGATTTACAGTCTCAGAAACCCTGTACAGGGTCGCTATGAGTCGGAACTGACTCCGCGGCACAAAACCACCATCACCAATCCTGGCAACAACTGTGTTCTCAACAACAGCAATAACAGGAGGAAGAATGCGAGTTTGTTTGGAGGGCTGAGTGTGTTGCTTCAGGAATCCTGGTGGTGCAGTGGGTTAAGCCTTGAACTGCTAGCCAAAGGGTTGTTGGCTTGAACTCACCCCTCGTACCAAAGGAGAAAGATGTGGCTGTCTGCTTCCATACAGCTTTACAGCCTCGGAAACCCTATGTTGATGTCGAGTGCTGTTGAGTTGGTTCCAACTCATAGCAACCCTGTATAGAGCATCTGCTGAGCTTGAACCTTCAACTTTTCAGCTCAAACCAACCTTGAAGTCCAGCTCATTAACTCACAGCACTACACCAGGATTTCTTATAGACAGTTCTATTCTCTCACCTAGAGGGTGGCAAGGAGTCGGAGTGGACTTGCCAGCAGTGGATTTGGTTTTGGGTTTTATGCACAGCTCAACAGTTGTGCATCTTTGCAACAATAGCCTTCAGCAGTGTTTTCCAGGGTTCTCCCCTCCTTACAGAGGAGATACCTGAGGACCTGGGAGGGCGGTGACTCTCTTGAGGGCAGGAACACTGGTGAGTGTTGGAGCCAGGGCTGGAAACTGCTTATTATACTCATTTTGACAAAAGGAGTTGCTTTAGGTAAGATGTGTATGTGAGTGTATGCTTCCTCCGCCCCACAACCTTCCTCAGTTTCCTTCTTGCGTCAGATAATGCTTTCCTTCTGAACAAGAGCAGTGGCAGCTGATGATGAATGAATTCTGGGCTCGGGCACCCACTTAGCCCTGTGGTCTGTGTGCTTTGTGTTGTTCTCTTGTGTAATCGACACCACAGTCTTTGAAGTTGGTTATAATGGTTATGGCTAAGTGCCACCGAGTCAGTTCCGACTCATAGTGACTGTGTAGAGGGTTTCCGAGGAGCCATTGGTGGGTTTGAACGGCCTACTTTGTGATTCACTGTCAAGTGCTGATCCTATAGTGCCACACTAGCACTCCAGTGATGTTATTATGCCCATTTTACAGATGGGGAAACTGAGACACAGTAAATGATTCAAACCTGGGAGACAGCCATCACAGGACCCAAAGGAAGAATAAAGGGTGCTTCGGGGCAGAGGGCACGTCTCTCTTCTCTACTTGATGTATCGCCATTATGACAGCTGCTTACACTTGGTCCATTAGACAACATCCGTATGCAGACACACTGACTGGTACTTGGGAGCCTGAACCAGCCAGCCCTGTGGTTCTGATTCGGCCTCACTAAGTCACTGAGACCATTATACTGGGGTCAGAGGAGATGGAAGGAGGCAAGGGAAGCGAGAAAAGTGAGCCAACTTCCAGAGCAGGCACTACAAGATCAAAACTCTTTTCCAATCCAGGCAAAGACCAGGTGTGCAGCCTGCTGGGTAGAGCTTCCCCTGCCCGCTGCCAGTGTTATTTGGGGTGAAGGGTCTTCTACTTCCTCCTCCCCTGAGTCCAGTGAGGATGAAAACATTCTGACCACAAGGGGAACTGCCTATTTATCTCCTGCCCCACTGAGCCCTGCACCAAGATAGAAAAACCTAGAAGGCAAAGGAGAGAGCCACTGGCAGGACAGGCCCTGCTCTGAGTTTTCCTTGGGGCTCTTGGGGAGGAGATACTTCCTGGTGAGAGGAGGGCCTCTGCTTACTTCAGGCTCTTCCCAGCTGGGCGCTGGGGTTTCCTGTGCCAACCCCACCCAGTCCTCAGACTCATTCCTCTGGGTTTGGCTCCCGGAAGAGCAGCTGGTTTTGATGTTTGAGACTCTACCTTGGGTAGGAGCTAGGATGACTCATGTCCTCCTTGTTGTTGTTAGGTTTTGTTAAGTTGATTCCTACTCAGAGTCACCATTTGTGCAACAGACAAAACACTGCCGAGTCCTAGACCATCCTCACTGAAGTCACTGTTGTATTCATTGTGTCTGTTCATCTCGTTTGGGGTCTTCTTTTTCACTGACCTTCCAAGCATGATGTCCTTGTCTGGGGACTGGTACTTCCTGATAACAAGTCCAAAGTATGTGAGACGCAGCCTCACCATCCTCGCTTCTAAGGAACATTCTGGCTGGACATTTTCCAAGACAGATTTGTTTGTTCTTCTGACTGCCCGTGGTACTTTCAATATTTTTTTGCCAACACTATAACTCCAAGGGATCAATTCTTCTCTGTCTTCATCATTCATTATCCACTTTCACATGAATATCATTGTCATTGTGTGTCATGGAGTCAGTTCCGACTCATAGAAGAACTCATAGTATAGGGTTTACCAATGAGCGGATGGATGGTAGATACATATTGTTGTTGTTGTTGTTGTTAAGTGCCGTTGAGTCAGTTCCGACCCATAGCGCCCCTATATATGGTTTCCAAGGAGTGACTGGTGAGCTTGAACCTCTGACCTTGCAGTTCAAATGGCTTTGCAGTCTGGCGCATTAACCCACAGCACCACACAAGAACTCCAGATACATATTAGGCGATTGAAAAAAACCATGGCTTGGATCAGGCACAGCTTAATCTTCAAAGTAATATCTTTGCTATTTCACATTTTAAAGAGGTCTTCTGTAGCAGATTTGCCCAATGCAATATGTCATTTGACTTCTGAGTTTTACGTTCAACAAATCACACACTTTGTTTCATCTCAATGATTGCAATCCTCTCCCTGCAACAATAGTGATCCCGCTTCCTCCCTGTGATTCCTGTTTCCATTCCACCCACCTTCCCATTCCCTCTCAACTTTGTGCTTAGGAAAATGCTGCCCTTTTGATTTTGTGGGGCTGACCATCCCCTGGTGAGCAGACCTAACTAGTATTGTTGTCCACCCCCTGTATACCTATGTGCTTCTTGAAAACTGGGTCACAGGCATGAGCTCCTTTCCAGATCTGAAGGGTGGTCGAGGGTCATAGTCTCAGGTTCCTCCCATCTCTTTCTGACCAGTAAGTCCTGTCTTTTTTTTTTTTTTTTCAGTAATTTTGAGTTTTGTTCTATATTTTCTCCCACTCTATCTGGGACCCTATACTGTGATCCCTTTCAGAGCAATTGGTTATGATAACCAGACACCATCTAGTTCCTCTGGTCTCAGCATCATGGAGATTGATGTTCACAGGTTCCATTAGTCCATTGGACTCATTGATTCCAAGCCTCTTCAATTCTCATCACTCGTCTTTCTTCCACACATGGAGAAATGAAGAGCTGTACTGTAAAGGGCCACTCATGAGATTTCAAGATCCCAGATGCTACTCACCAAAGTAGGATACAGAATACTGTCCTGTGGACTCTGCTGTGCCAGTTGACTGTAGTGTCCCTGAGACTACGGTCCGGAGCCCCCAAGTCCAGCAACTCATTGCCTCAAGATGTTTGATAATATCTAGGAAGTTTCATCATTTTGTCCACTGTCTGCTCCACACATTCATGATTGTGTGTGCAAGAAAGGTAAATACTAATGTGCAAATATCCTCTTTCAAACTTATATATCTATGGATCTATGTATCTATATATAGATATATATGTTGTTGTTGTTGTTAAGTGCTGTGGAGTCCGTTCTGACCCATAGCGACCCTCAACAGGGTTTCTGAGGCTGTAATTCTTTATGGGAGCAGAAAGCCTCATCTTTCTTCCACGAAGCAGCTGGTAGTTTTGAACTACAGACCTTGCGGTTCGCAGCCCAATTCATAACCACTACGCTACCAGAGCTCCATATATATATAATATATAAATAATATGTTGTTAGGTGCCATCGAGTTGGTACCGTCTCATAGTGACCTTATGCACAACAAAACAAAACACTGCCCCATCCTGAGCCAACCTCACTACTGTTGACACACTTGAGCCCACTGACACTGCTGCTTGGTCTATCCATCTCATTGGGGGTCTTCCTCTTTTCCTCTTACCCTCCACCCTACCAAACATGATATTCTTCTCCAGCAACTGGTCCCTCCTGATAATATGTCCGAAGTATAAGAGATGAAGTTTGATCATCCTGGCCTCCAAGGAGCACTCTGGATGCACTTCTTCCAAAACGTATCTATTGGTTCTTTTGGCACTTTCAATGTTCTCCTCAAAGACCATAACTCAAAAGCATCAATTCTTCTACGGTCTTCCTTATTCACTGTCCAGCTTTCACATGCATATGAGGCTATTGAAAACACCATGGCTTGGGTCAGGCGCACCTTAGTCCTCAAGCTGACATCCTTGCTCTTCAACACTTTTAAAAGTTCCTGTGCAGCAGATTTGCCCAATGCAATTTGCCCAAGTCAAGATCTCTTGACTGCTGCTTCCGCGAGTGTTGATAGTTGGATCTTAGTATTACTCTTCTGAATTTCTATATGCAGGTTTTGTATTGTCCTGATCCTTTATCTATATTGTTTGATTATTCCTGTAGTACTTTCCTGAATTCTTCCTTGTTTTCCTCAACCTTTTGGTCAATCATTTGGAGGTACCTAAATATCATTCTCCTGAATTATTTTTCAGGTAATTCCAATACCTTTTTATCCTCAAAGCATTTTCTAGCTCTGCCTCTTGGTCATCTGTTTGTTGCTACTCTGTCTTGTTTCTTCACGTGAACAGAAATTGTCTGCTGCTACTGAGTCATTGTGATGTTGTATTTGTATTAAGTTAATGATTGTATGTTGGTGTGTTCTTAGGCACTCACCAACTGACTCCTGATGAAAGTGATCAGGAGATGAGTTTGTGAACAGATTTCTGTTTGTTGTTCAGTTAGTTTAGTTCCGGGTGGATTTAGCTGATCTCAGTTGTTGTCATTGATCTGGTGTATAGTTGTTGGTATTGGCTCTTGTCCAATTGGTGAGACTGCAGAGGGTTTGCCTGTGGCTGAACTGTATGGTTGCAAGAAGAGAAAACACACACACAAGAGAGAAGGGAAGCAACAAACCATCAAACAGCAGCAGAAAAAAGAAAATAGTACCAAAATAAAAAAACTGGCAACAACTTTCTTTCTACCAATAAGTGGTATGCCCCTACACCACCTACTGGCCTCTTGCCTTCACAGCTGCCCAAGAAAGTCCAGGAAGGCCACATTGCACCAGGCTGACCCACATAGACAACCAGTCTTTCTTTCCGTTTTTCTCAATCCCACACAATTGTTCAGCTACTTCTAGTCAGAGCTAATCCAGGGCTGGCCAGGATCGACTTTGCAGATTCAGAGCAAGGCCCACCTGAGTGAGGTTATTGCAGATGGTGCGCCCCCACCTCAATGGGACTCACAACCTCAGGGCTCACCTCCGTGTGACTCCAACCACCTGGAGAGCAGGAGTTTCCTTAGGGGTGTACACGGGAAGGAGGCCGGCCTTACCTCTGGTCGTCAAGAGAGTGTGGGGAACAAGAGAAAAATTGCACCCTAGTCCAGTGAGCCACAGGTACGTTTCTGCAATGCAAATATGTTTTCTTGTCTCTGAAGATGCTCACAAACACTCGGGATGGCTGTGGCAGGTTGAGTTGGCCACCAGCGCTCAGCACTCACGTCTTCTTGTGGTGCCTCTGCTCAGCTCTGTCTTCTAGTAAGTGTTCAACCCACTTCTCTATCCCTTCATCTGAAGCTCAGAGTTCCAAAACTATCATCTGCAACTGTCTCATTTGGTTTTCTGTGCCTTTGTTGTAGCACAGGAGTGGAGAACCTTTTCTCTGCCAAAATGTATGACATCAGTCACAGACCATACAAAGTCATCAAATAACAAAAGTCCTGCTAGGCTTGCAGAATGTGCCCTTTGGTTGTTTAAGTGATTATATATTCCTGAGTGTTTTTGTGTACATCCCAAAATAGAAGCAAATACTGTTGAATGATGATGCACAGAGGAGATTGTAATCATTGCAACGAAATGAAATATGACAGGATGAGTGCAAAACCGATGTTCTTTCATATAAACTATTACTCAACGCGCAATAAAAACTTTTAAAAAATCAAAATTAAAAAAAAAAATTGGCCTGCTATATTTGGTCAAACTCACCCCTAATGTGATGGTTTGTGACATAAGGGTTCTATGGGCAAAATATTGAATGATACAGAAGGCATAAAAACAAAAATGGAAGGAATACTCTACAAAAAAGAAATGGTCCACGTTCAACCATTTCAAGAGGCAGCATATGATCAAGAGTCAATGGTACTGAAGGGAGAAGTCCAAGGTACCTTGGAAACATTAGCAAAGAACAAGATGTCAGGAATTGATGGGATACAGATTGAAATCTTTCAACACACTGATGTGGCACTGGAGACACTCATTCATCTATGCCAAGAAATTTGGAAGACAACTACGTAGCCAACTGAATGACAGAGATCCATATTTGCATCCATTCCAAAGAGAGGTGACCCAATGGAATGCGGAAATTCTCGGACAAGATCACTGATAGCCCATGCAAGTCAAGTTTTACTAAAGGTAATACAGAAACAGCTGGAATCTGGCTGAAATGAAGCCAGGCACTGTTGCATAGATGGAACTAACAGTGGGGTTACTTCCTACTCTGTTAGAGTCTGAAAAGGCTGGCTTCCTTCATGGGGAAGATAGTGAAGGAGACCAGAGCACACAAGTTTCATGTCCCCAAGCAGAAACTCTCCCCTTGCTCTTCCCTCTACCTTCCCCCAGACGTTTCCTCTGGCCACCCAGCTGTCAGCCAGTGTCTCACTAAGCAAAGGAAAGGGTCCCTGCTCCATCTCAGCCCTGGCCTTTCTGGGGCCCAGTGAGATAGACTCAGTCCTCTTCTGTTCCTGTTGTCCCTTTCCTAGGTGAGCTGGAGCAGCAAATCCTGAGGGTACTTCAGCAGGCTGGCTGCTCCCTGAAGACTGCCCAGCTGGTGAAGACATGCCAAGTGCCCAAGAAGGAGATCAACCGGGTCCTCTACCAATTGAAGGAGAAGTCGGTAGTCACCCTGGAAAAACCTGCCACCTGGTGCCTAGGAGGGGCTGGAAATGGAGGTGTGGTTCCCACGGTGCCAGCTAATCTGGAGCTCAGTCACTGCACATCAGAGGAGGCAGGTAGGACCCAGCAAAGTCATCCAGACAGTGGGGAAGCCCAACTTTGAGACCACAGACCTGGCTTCACACAGGGCTTAGCCATGTCCTCATTCTCCTTCCCTCTGTCTTGATTTCCTTTCCTGGCCAAGGGAGATGACAATAAGCTGCTTCTTAGGCCACCAAGAGGGTCACAAGCTGTGCTCATGTCCGGGCTAGCACCGAAAGGTCCTCAGCAAACACTGATCATAGTAACCGAATATGAGGTTGTGGTTGTTGTTAGCTGCTGCCGATAGGATTCCGACTCACGGAGACCCCATGTGTGCAGAGTAGAATTGCTCTGTAAGGTTTTCCAAGCTGTGACCTTTTAGAAACATTGCCAGACATTTCTTCAGAAGCACACAAAGAAAGTCAAAAGCCTGACTGTTCATGTCACCTAGGGACTCCTACAGAAAACAATTGTTGTTGTTGTTGTTAAGTGCCATTGAGTCGGCTCTGACCCATAGCGACCCTGTACAGGGTTTCCGAGGGTGTATTTCTTTATGGGAGTAGAAAGCCTCATCTTTCAGCTGGTAGTTTCGAACCGCTGACCTTAAAGTTCGCAGCCCGATTCGTAACCACTATGCTACCACAGCTCCTTACAGAAAACAATAGTGACAATAATAACAATAGTAATAAAACAAAATTAGTATCACACTAAAATCCACTGCCATTGAGTCTAGGCCAACTCATAGCAACCTAAGAGGAGAGTAGACGTGCCCCACAGGGTTCCAAGGGTGTCATCTTTACAGACTGCCACATCTTTCCCTACCAGAGAGGCTGCTGGGTTCGAACCACTGACCTTTTAGTTACTGCTTAACCGCTGTGTCACCAGGGCCCCTCAGTATCATTCTTGTTGTTATTTTTGTTAAAAGCCATCAAGTTGGTTCCAACTCGTAGCAACTCTTATAGAGTTTCCTATAGGGCTTCCGAGGAGTGGCTGGTGAGTTTGAACCACCGACTTTGCTGTTCAAAACAACTTTGCAGTCCGGTGCATTATCTCACAGCACCACACCAAGACTCCGGTATCATTCTCCATTGTTTTTTGTTGTTAAGTGCCTTGGAGTCGGTTCCGACTCATAGCAACCCTGTATAAGGTTTTTTCTAGTTTTATGGCCAGTAACAAAAAAAGCTGGCCGATGTTTGGGGAGTCCTGGTGTGGCACTGTAGGATCAGCACTGGGCTGCTAACCACAAGTCCACCAGTCTCTCCTCAGAAACCCTAAGGGGTCACTATGAGTTGGAACCAACTCGATGGCATTTAACAACATCAACAACAATGGTGGGAGGGACCTGTGCCTAGGGGTTCTGGGTCCCTTGATTTGATCCTTTGTATCCCTGGGATGGAGATTTTATTCTAGTCTAATCTAATCTGGAGTACTGGTGTGGCACTGTAGGGTAAGCACTGAACTGCTAACAACAAGGTCAGTGGTTCAACCCCACCAGCTGCTCTTCGGAAACCCTATACAAGGTCACTATTGTAGCATAGTGGTTATGAGTTGGACTGCTAACCTCAAGGTCAACAGGTCGAAACTACCAGTTGTACTGTGGGAGAAAGATGAGGCTTTCTGCTCTGGTAAAGATTTACAGCCTCAGGAATCCTATACTGGGTTGCCAGGAGTCAGAACCAACTCCATGATACACCAACTCCAAGACATGTAACCAACTAACCAGTGAGTTGGAACCTGCCTCGATAGGGTTTAACCAACAACACCAGTCTAATCTAGTCTAATTCAATATTCTCTCATGTAGTTGTTGTTGTTAAATGCCGTTGAGTCGGTTCCGACCCATAGCGACCCTGAACAGGATTTCCGAGGCTGTAAATCTTTACGGGAGCAGAAAGCCTCATCTTTCTCCCGCGAAGCAGCTGGTAGTTTTGAACTGCTGACCTTGAGGTTTGCAGCCCGATTCGTAACCACTATGCTACCAGAGCTCCTTAATATGCTCTAATAGGTTCTTTTATATTCTATGCTAATTCTATGCTATTCTATTCTAACCTACTCTATCCTGTGCTACACAAAAGAAATCTCACCCTAGGAAAAATTCCCCCAATTCTACAGAAAAGGAAGCTGAAGCCCAGAAAGGTTCTGGAACACCTTTAAGGCCATACAGTCAGAAGGAATTTAAACCTAATTTGTTTCATTCTGGAATCTGAGTTAGGAATGGTGAAGCAGTCTGCAGCAACTCTTCTTTAGAATGACCCTCCTTTACCTTGTAGAGACCAGTTCCTCTCCTTGTTCCCTTTCCTCTGACCCAGTTTTCTTTCTCCAGCCCAGAAGTGCCTGCAAGACTCAGAAGACATACCCCAACATCCTGGGTCCCCACTCAGCAAACAGCGTAAGAATCTTCCTTCCCTTTCACTCCCCAAGACCTCTTGGAGTGTTAAGACTGCTCAAGAAGCATGGCGCACCATCACGAGGTCCCCACCGTGTTCAGAGGCGAGACTCAGTCTTCCCAATGAAGTCTTTAAATAGACAAGGAATTATTATCTTTGATCAATAGCCAGTTGCCAACAATTCCCTGACTCATGGTACGTCGTCAGCATAGAACTTTGCTCCAAAGGATTTTTAATGGATAACTTTACAACAAAATTTTTTTAAGTTGTATGTCAGCATAGAAGTTTGCTCCATGGGATTTTTAATGGATAACTTTACAACAATTTTTTTTTAAGTTGATTGCCAGGGTTTTGTTCTGAGGAACCTCTGGGTGGACTCGAATCTCCAACCTTTAAATCAGTGGCTGAGCCCCATTTATGCCACACTGGGAGTCCTCTTTGATCAGTTCATGTAATTTATGCACCAAGCATGTATACTGGAGTCCTGGTGTGTTTCTGTAGGATAATGTGCTGGACCACAAGGTCGGCACTTCACAAAAACAGCCATGTATACTGGAATGATGCTGTAAGATATGCACTAGGTTGTTCACCATAGGGTCGGAGGTTCACCAGTCACTCCTTGGAAACCCTATTCCGGGTTGCTATGAGTTGAAATCAACTGGATGGCACTTAACCATAACCTCTGTGGTGCAGTATTATGAGGCCCATTTTACAGATGGGGAGACTGGGCACAGAGGGGCAGTTCACTCACTCAGTGCTACAGAATCATAGGTGCCAGAGCAGATCCAGACCACAGGGATCCAGTCTGTTAGCCACCTGCCTCCTGCTTTCAGGGAAAGCAATTTACAAGCTGCTGGAAACCAAGGGGCCCCAGAGCGCCCTGGGCATTGCCCACGCTCTAGGAAGGAAGACAGCGAAAGACGTCAACCCAGACCTGTACGCAATGAGGAACAATCACCTCCTGAGCCTTGATAAGAATACAAAGTTGTGGGCGATTTATGGGCCAGGTGAGTCCTCACCTACTGTCTGCACCTGGGTCAGGGCAGTGGGTCTGAGCTTTAGGGAGAAACTGCTACCCTCTAGGGTCCACTCTGCCTTGTTAAACATGCCCCCAACAGTTCTGGGAGGTCCCAGGGGAATGGGGTGTGCTGGTGGCAGCAACCAGGAAGGGGAGGTGGCCCATCCCCAACTTTATCAGCCTTGGAGTACAGAGGACCATCCAAGATTGGTAATGTGGGGTTTTTAAGTTGCCAGAAGAGGAGACAAGGCTGGGGCTTAGAGACTCAGAGGGTGTGTCCCAGGTCAGACACAGGGCCGAGAGCCCATGGTACTTTTAGAGGTCCATGAAAATGCTTTCATTTTCATGTCTTTTCAAATTGGAGGTTTTGGGGGTGGGGTGGGGGTAGTGAGTCACATTAGAGTAATAATGAATATTGAATGACGAACTTGGATTGCATGCATCTTTATAAGAGTACCATTGCTGATATGGGCTTTTAAATACTACTTTGTTGGGAAAGACCACCATGTAAGTCCCACTGTGGCCCCATGAATTGGCCCTGTACCCCAGCTCATGGGGCACCGGGGGGTGTCAGTCCCCTAATACTACTGTGAGGACAGATTGCCAGTCACATTGGTGACAAATATGGGTCCCTCAAAATGCCATACAAGTTTTCTTTTTTCTCTTCTGGGGACACAGGATTGTTGTTGTTAAGTGCCAGCAAGTCAAGTTCCAATTCATAGCAACCCTGTACAGGGTTTCCAAGGAGCAACTGGTGAGTTTGAATCTCTGACCTTGCAATTTAAAGCCTTGCGGTCCAGTGCATTATTCTGCAGCACCACACCAGGACTCCTATATGTTGTTAAGTTGTTGTTGTTAAGCACCGTTGAGTCAGTCTGGACTCATAGTGGCCCTGTGTAGGGTTTCCTAGGAGTAGCTGGTGAGTTTGAACTGCCAACCTTGCAGTCCAGTACATTATCCTACAGCACCACACCAGGACTCCTACACAGAGGCATTCAAAATGGTCCAGCTCTGACCTACCATTGCGGGCTGTCCTACAATACAGTCTCTAATAAAACTAGGCTGTCTGGAACCCTCCGTCATAGAACTGTTTCCCTTTATACCAAGAATGTGCCCCCGCTGACCTAAAGTGCTTCTGAGATTGTCCAAGACCAAAAAACACGGTGGTTTCATATGTGCTAAATATGTCCATGAAAACTCGAAGCTCTTTCCTTATTAAAGAGCAGAAAATCGTGAGGCACAGAGTCAGAAAGCCAAATATTAATAATAAAAGAAACGATGCCTTTTGCATTTTGAATAAGAAAATGCCATGAAAACCAAACAAAGCACATCTGTACCCAGACTTGGCCTGTGGATAGTCATCTTGCAGCCATGACTGGATGGGGAAGGCTTTGGAGCACAGTTGTCAGGGCATGCCTGCCTCGGGGAAGGGGACAGTGACTAGGCAGTGGTTAAAGGGCCAGCACTGTGGATATCTGGTCATGGAGGTTGCAGAGCACATAGGAAGAATGATCTGTCATGGCGATTTCCATTAATCAGCAGCTGCGTTGCTAACTATGCTAGTTCCTGGACCCCATCTGGGACCAACTGACTCTGAACCCTCAAGCTAGGGTCCTGGGGATCTATGTTTTAACAAGAGTTGTTGGTGCTTCTGATATTTGCAGCCCTTGACTCTTAGAGAGGTACAAATGGATAAAGTAAAATACTATCATTAAATTATAATTCATTGTGTTTTTGATAAAGGTTTACCCATCAAATGAGATTCTCATTCAACAATTTCTACACAAATGACTCAGTGACAGTGGCCACATTCTGTACAATGTGTAAGCAGTCCCAATATTTCCATTCTGGTTGCTCCATTTCCATTTTTCTAGTCTCCCTGTCCCTTTATGCTCTCATCTTTGTTTAAAAGTCATTGTTAACCATGTGATTTCATGTACATGATTCTTTTAAAGGAGTACAGTACATATAGATTACACTATTTTGTGAGCTATAAGGTTACCTCCAGGGTTGAGTGGATTTTTTTTTTTTTTGTAAAAGATTCCAGGAGAAAAAGTCAGTCCACTGAAAATACGTACCAGCAAAGTATAGTCAACATGACCATCCAGAACGGACCCAATGGCTACATTTCCATTTCAAACTCTGAAGGCATCCAGATTGGAGACAATAACACCATACAGAAACACTCAAATAAGGAGAGGGGTAAGCCTTCGACAACCAGGAGTGGGGACCTGGAGAGACACCTGACCCTCCCGAAGGATGATGGGAAATGTTGTAGGGTTAATCCTCTGAGAACAAAGGGTGGCTCAAGGACCACTTTCATGGCCTGGTCCTGGGTTTGTCACCCAGAAAATGAGTAAGTCCTTCTTTGTGCCTAGATCAGACCTCTCCTGCTTTCCTTCCACTTCAATACCTGCTGCCTCTGGGGCTTGCCAGTACCCCAGCGACTCTCATCTCCTAAAAATGCCTCGAGTCTGGTATTGTTGGTTCCCAGTCCAATGGCGTCTAGGGAGAGTAAAGAGCCCAGTCTCCTCCACCTGGCAGGATAGTGCGTGTGAGGAGGGGTTGGGAAAAGGAGGACAGTAAAGTCTGGAGTCCCCTCCAGAGGAGACATGTTGCTGCCTCCCCTGCCAGGCTACAAGGCTCCCTCCTGCCCCTCTCCAATGGCACCAGATGATCTCTTCAAGCAGGAGGCTCCAACCAGTGCCGGCAGCTCCCAGAACATTCGTGTGGTGCTGTGCAGACAGGTACAACAAGGAGACTACAACGAGATGTGCTTTCAGAACACCCTGGACGAGGGGCCTAACTGCAGCCTACCAGGTAGCCTTCTCTTGCCCACACCTCACATCCCCCCGCTAGAAGAATCTTGAGCCAGTGTCTCTATAGAAAAGTCCTGTCCTTCCACCAAAAGGCTGCACCAGGGTAGAACAGGTGGGACTTCTAGAGTTTAAAGTCTGAGTTTCCATACCTCACCACCCACCCTCAGAACCTCAGTTTCCTCATGTGTAAAATGGGTGAGAAGCAGGCCAGCAGAAGCAAGGTCGGGGAAACAGCTGCAATCAGGAAGAGTGCCTCTAAGGAACATGGAACCAGCAGGCAACCTGGGGACCTAGTTCCATATAAGAGATATGGCTACTCAGTGACCCAGGCTCTCAGTCTTCTGCTACCCTGTGAGTCCAGGCATGGGCTGGGGCACAGGAACAGCAAAGGAGCCTTCAGAGGAATTGCAGGGGAAGAAGGGAAGCAAGAACGCCAGAAGTTTCTAGAACTTCTCCCGGCTGGCAGCTGCTGAGCCTGAGGGAGATAGCAGAGTGAGGAATGGGGGACATGAACCTGAAGTGGCCAGAGGCAGGGGCAGCTCAGGTGGGGGACAGTGTGGGCATGGTCTGGGAGGTGGGACAGTGACCCCCTGGGTAGGAAGTCCACAGAAGAGAGGCCTGTGAACCAGGCTGGGACCAGGGCTCCAGGGTCACCCTCTAATTCCAGCATCTGTCTTTCTGGCTGACCCACAGTCTCTGCCACTGCTGTTGAGAAGTCTCATGTGCAGAGCATATACCCAAACCAGGACCTCACCAAGAGGGCCCAGAAAGTAAACGTCCAAGTGTATCCTGAGGGTACAACCAATATCAACAAAATGACTGTCCCCTCAGTTGGTCCAGAGGGGGACCGTAGGAAGGACCCCGGAGAGTCTGAGCAGGATGAAGGTGAGTCCAGGAGCTGGGGTGACATCATTCAGTACACGATTTTAGAGTCTTATGCAGACACTGTGGGGACAGGTCAAAGGGGACCTGGGGGAGGCAGAGGACGTTGGGGAGGGCATGCATGGTCAGCCTGTGGCATGGGGACAAGCGGTTTGGCCACCAGTTAACAGAGGCCTTTGTCATTTTCTCTTCCCACAAATCACGGCTCCTTCACGATCCAGTAGCCACTTCCCTGGCCATCCCTGACATCACTGGGTTGCTCACTTCCAAGATGGAAGCATTGGCTCTTGGAAGACAGGACCCTACACCTACAGAAGAAGAGAGACCCCCAGAGGAAAATTAGAGGGACGTGGGATTATAACAAACATGTAGCTGCCAGCAGGTGGACCTGTGGGGGAGATCAGAGAGACAGGAGGCCTGGGCTACACGGCCCCTGAATCCCATAAATGACTTTTTTTTTTTAATGCTTTATTGTGAATTATGTGATTGTTTACATAGGAGGACATCAGCTTCACATTGATGCCGTTGTATATCGTTTCCTTGCCATGATTGCAATCCCTTCCATGCATCATCCACCAACCAAAGGGTATACCCTGTAAGCCTGCCCCCAAGTCTTCCGCATACCGCCCCTCTCCCTGTCCGAGTCCAAAGTCCCCAGCTGTTCCATCTCCCCACGTCATCGGCTCTGCCTCCATCCCTGGCATCACTGCTTCTCTGGGTAGGGTTCCATTCTCTGCTCTTCTCCTTTGATGGTCCCAGGGACCTCTGCTCCTAGACTGAAAGGTTAATCACTCCCCTCTGTTTGTCCCGAAAGTTTACCTTTACATTCCAGCCCTTACAATCAGTCCTGATAACAATTATTCGCTATTGTATCGCAAGAGACCAATCCGCATCACCTTTTATCAGCCCTTACTAGACAGAATGGATACTACTCAGTGGAGATTCTACCTTGCTTCACGCCATCTGGATCTAGGTTCCCTCTTGAAAGCTTGTAAGCCAGGCACTTCTTGCCTCTGTAGCCACCCCCTCCCCCTCCATTCTGGGTAGCTAATGTCCAAGTTGCTCATCCCTGTCCATAGGTGTATGTCAAGTTCATCAAATTGTATCAGATTATTCTTTTTTCGCTCTTCTTTCTTCTAGTTGAGCTCTGATCATCCAGCCATTGAAACCAGGTCAACTGGGTATTATCTGCAAGTGTGGGTGTACGTATGCATGTGCCCTCTCATCTTATCAGCTGGACATTTCACTTTCCACTCTAGTCCTCTGTGGCTATGTCACTGACTCTGGGTCCAAGAGTCCCCTGGACTTGGCACACTGCTAGCCAACCAGGTCTCCATCTGGGTTCACAGGAGTCTATTGAGCATTGTAGGGCTTAGCTCGCAGCTTTATTGCTGTTTTTCCCTCATTTCCCTTATCGGTGATGAACGTGGTCACCAATCAGAGCACACATTCCCATTGAACCTTAGTCTTAGAAGGGGGTTTGCCCTGAGGGGGACCTGACCACTTGCCTTAATGTCTTCTGGGCAAGCCACTTGTTTGTTCTTGTAGTAATCAGTCAGCTTGCCTATATTGTTTTGTATTTTTCCTGTCAGTCTTTCTTTCAGGAAGTATCTTCTGTTCTTCTGGCCACTCCAGGCTGGTCTGCTTGTCCTTTCAAGTGGAAATTTCCCCTCAGAAGATTCTGGATGCTGTTCAGGATTCCACCTATGGTCTTGTGTAATGCAGAAGTTCCACAGGAAGCCTCCTTCGCTAGGCACGTTGTATCCCCATTTTAGGTATTCCAATCAGTTATAGGCAGAAGACAGACTTATAAGCTTTCTATGGTGATATTTCTGGCTATTCCTTTCTCTCCCCTTCCAGTGTCTATTTTATAATGGTATGCCAGGGAAACCAAGATTCAACAGACAGCCAAGCATCTTAACATTATTTCCCCCCTCTTCCCCATTCAAACCATGTTTCAATCTCTGTATCCCAGAGCCCTTTTGTTCCAAGGTTTTGCATACATTATTATTAATGTCTCTGTCCCACTTCAGTTTCACATTCATCCTATCGTATTTCATTTAATTGCAATGATTAAAATCCCCTCCATGCAACATCAAATAACCAAAGGATACAGCCCACAGGCCCACCCCACCCCCGGCTGTCAGCAAACAGCTCCTCTCCCTCCCTGAGTCCCATGTCCCCAGCCACTCCATCTGTCCATGCCATCATAGTCCCACCACCGTTTGGGGTCTGGGCAGTTTCCAGCCTCCCCCGACCCCCCCCCCAAGGTATTCCAGTTCGTTATAAGCTGGATACAGGCCCAGATGTTTTCTGTTGTGATGTTTCTGGCTGTCTACCCCCCACTCAAGTGTCTATTTCACAATGGTAGGCAAAGGAGACCAAGATTCAAAAGACAGCCAAGCATCCTAACATTATTCCCATCTTTTCCCCCTTTCAAGCCATGCCTCAATCCCTGTTTCCTGAAGCCCCGTTATTCCAGGGTTGTGCATACCTCGTCATTTAGCTCTGTCCCACCTAGCCCATGCGAACCTGCCCAACCGTTCTCCTGTCTGCCTTGTTCTTTCCCCCCTCCTCCTTCTTGTGTATTGCCAGCCTTGCGCCCCCCACCCCCACCCCGGCTCACAGTTTCTTCTGTGTCTATTCCCTACACTGTGCGCTTTCTTCCCCTCACTCCCTCCCCATCTGTCATCCCATACATACCAGTGATCAGCACTTATATATAGCGATCCCCCCTCTTTGGGTGGGTTCTTTTTCTTAGTCTTTCACAATAATGGTTTTATGCAGTATTTCTCCTTTTGTGACTGATTAATTTCACTCAGCATAATGTCCTCAAGGTTCATCCATGTTATGTGGTGGCTTGCAGCTTTCTTGTTGTTCTTCAAGGTAGCGTAGTATTCCATTGTGTGTATGCACCACAGTTTGTTTATCCATTCTTCAATTGATGGGCATTTTGGTTGTCTCCATTTTTTTTTGCTGTTGTAAATAGTGCTGCTGTGAACACTGGTGTGCATATATCTACTTATGTTATGGCTCGCATTTCTTGTGGGTAAATACCATGTAGAGGAATTGCTGGGTCATACGGTATTTCTATTTCCAATCTTCTGAGGAAGCGCCATATTTCTTTCCAGAGTGGTTGGACCATTTTGCATTCCCACCAACAATGTAGGAGGGTCCCAGACTTTCCGCATCCTCACCAGCATTTGTTGTCCTCTGCTTTTTTGATGTTTGCTGTTATTGCTGGTGTGAGATGATATCTCATTGTTGTTTTGATTTGTATTTCTCTGATGGCTAGTGATCGTGAGCATTTCTTCATATGTTTGTTGGCTGCCCGGATCTCCTCCTTGGTGAAGTGTCTGTTCATGCCCTGTGCCCATTTTTTAATTGGGTTATTTGTCTTTATCTTGTAGAGGTGTTGTAGTTTCCTATATATTTTAGAAATGAGTCCCTTATCTGATGTGTCATTGCAAAAGATTTTTTCCCATTCTGTGGGTTCCCTTTTTACTCTTTTGGTGAAGTCTTTCGATGCACATAAGTTTCAAAATTTTAATATTTTGTCTATTTTTGTTTTCACTTTTCAAAATGTTTGGTAGTCTGTATATGCCCTGAATTAGCACCCTCACATTTGTCCCTATTTTTTCATTAATGACCTTCACAATTTTGGGATTCACATTTAGATCTTTAATCCATGCCGAGTTCATTTTTGTATAGGGCATGAGGCAAAGGTCTTGTTTCAGTCTTTTACATATAGCTTTCTAGTTCTACCAGCACCATTTGTTAGAGACTGTCTCTCCCCATGCAATATGCCTAGGTACTTTGTCGAAAATCATTTGGCTGTGTGTGGTTGGGTTAATTTCTAGATTCTCGATTCTGTTCCTTTATCAATATATCTTTCATTGTACCAGTATCAGGCTGTTTTGACCACTGTAGCCACGTAGTAAATTTTGAAATTGGGGAGTGAGAGACTTCCAACCTTGTTTTTCTTTTTAAGCAGTGCTTTGCTTTTCCTGGGTCTCTGTCCTTTCCATATAAAGTTAGTAATAGTCATTTCCATCTCCTTGAAGAATGTTGTTGGAATCTGGATTGGGATTGCATTGTATGTGTAAATTGCTTTGGGCAGTACTGAGATTTTCACGATGTTGAGTCTTCCTATCCAGGAACATGGTATGTTCTTCCACTTCTGTAGGTCTCTTTTGGTTTCTTGTAGTAGTGTTTTGTAATTCTTTTTGTATAGGTCCTTTGTTTCTCTGGTTATGTTGATGCCTAAATATTTCATCCTTTGTGCAGCTATTGTAAATGGTATTGCTTTCCTAATGCTCTTTTCAGCGCTATCATTGTTGCTATAGAGAAATCCAACTGATTTTTGTATGTTAATCTTATACCCTGCCACTTTGCTGAATCTTTCAATGAGGTCTAGTAATTTTTTTGCTGAGTCTTTGGGGTTTGCTATGTATAGGATCATATCATCTGCAAATAAGGAGAGTTTTACTTCCTCTTCACCAATTTAATTTCTCTATCATGCTGTATAGCTCTGGCTAAAACTTCCAGCACAATATTGAATAGAAGTGATGATAAAGGGCATCCTTGTCTGGTTCCTGTTCACAGAGGGAAGGCTTTCAGTTTATGTCCATTGAGAGTGATGTAGGCTGCTGGTTTTGTATATATGCTCTTGATTATGTTGAGGAATTTCCCTTCAGTTTCTACTTTGTTGAGTGTTTTTATCAGGAATGGATGTTGGATTTTGTCAAATGCATTTTCTGCATCAATTGATAATGGTCATGTGGTTCTTTTCCTTTTTCTTATTTATAGGATGTATTATGTTGATTGTTTTTCTGATG